CTTTGTAGAAAACGAAGCGTTTGAGAGAGGCGGGGCATAGAGGACCTACAATAATGTACAGTATTTGAAAAATAATGTGTTTTTTGAACATTAAAGCATGTCAACATATTCTGTTACACCAAATACACAAAATAATGATCTTTAAAAAAGCATCATATGACCCCTTTAAAGTAATGTTCCCTGATATTTTGAGACTAAAGACTGAAGTATTAGCACTTGTGCCAATCATTTAATTTCTAGCAATAAGCATTAGACAAAAATCATTGATATACGTATATTGATATAAATATATATATAAATTATGATACTTTTTATATGATAAGATTTTTAAGTTTATTAAAAGTTTTTAAAAAAGTATTAACATTAAAATGTATTCAATTTTAAAACACTGGGTAATAGGGAATAAATTACTTATATATACATATATTTCCCATGAATTAAAAAATATATATTTGATAAATTATTTTATAACAACTTTGCTAAGGGTTGAATGATAGAGCCTGATGAATGCAGTAGATTTTGTCTAAAAAAATAACAAAAAATGATTTACTTAATTATGTTTATAATTTGGTGTCACAATTTTAGGAATGTTTTGTTATTTAAATTAGTTTTACTATGATTAATTAGAAATTAACTGAACAGATTATGGCAAAATTATGTGTTATTTTATTTAACACTAGGGTGGGACAGGCCAAAATCACAATTTTAAGGGGGAAATTAAGACATTTAATGTGTTTAAAACTCAATACTTTTCATGGTAACCTTTTTTTTATTTTAAAAGGTTTATCTAGCATAACTAATAGTAGTTTTCTCACCATAGGATACATGGGATTTGTACCTCTAATGCTTTCTTTCTTTCTTTCGTTTGGTAATGGTAAACCACAGTACACATCATTTTAGATAATGAGGGAGGCAGAGAGAGGACAGATTGTTATTTTACCTTTCCATCCTCCTCATCAGAAGATTCATCGGAGTCCTCATCCTCTTCAACATCAGACTCACAACGAGCAATAGGTACAGTCAGTGTTGGAGGCAAACAGTTGGTCAAGCCATCTGCCATTTTCCTCTCATCCAGGTGGTTTAAAGCACACAGTTCTATGTCTCCTTCCCCTCCTCCTTTATTATTGTCAGGAGGTTTCTTTTCAAGAATCTGGCGCAACATACTGGCGATGAAGGCTTTGAGCCAATCTAGACCCCTGGTGATGCGACCAATGGCGATCTGAAGGTTGTTCATCTCACCATCATCATCACCTCCAGACAGGTTATCCCCGCTGAAGGAGCTGAGCAGCAGAGCCAGGAACAGGTTCAGTACCTGAGAAGTACAGGTCAGAATGAGGTTGGCAGGTTGAACGCATACAGTATAAGGAGTTCCTGTAGCTTAAGTGGCAAACGTGGCATACTTGCCATGCTGCAAAGTTACCTATAATTTAAGCTACTCTTTTAAAAAAGAGACCAGTTAAATATGTAAATGAATTGTTTTTGTTTAAAGAAGAAGACCTAAAATGCTAAGCAGGAACTAAATTATGCCACTCATTTACTGAAGAACTAATTCACTAGAAAGATTCAGATTCTCCAATGCAACGTAACATAGAGAAGACAGTTTATTAGATATGAGATTAACTGTTACAGTAACAATTTAGTTAGATTTAGAATATACATATCCATCAGCTTGGTGCAAAATTCCAGTGTTTAGAACATGATCTTGGCTAACATCATTCAAGTCTCAATAATAAAAGCTAGTTTCACAAATAATTGGTTCTCAAGTTATACATAGCCAGTGTCAAGTTTAGGTAAGCTCTGTCGTAATGAAGTTTCAATAAATATTATGTTGTCTGGAAGCATAGGGCAGGGATGCTATCTTTAGGATCTAGGCACACTAGACATAGCACATAGTTATAGAAGCCATGGTTGGCCTCATTCATATGATCATACAAATGTTTAAGAGCCACATTAAAAAAAAAAGTGTATTATTTTGAGGAAACCAGGCACAATTTTATGTAGATAAAATCGTCTGGAAGCATAGGGCAGGGATGCTATCTTTAGGATCTAGGCACACTAGACATAGCACATAGTTATAGAAGCCATGGTTGGCCTCATTCATATGATCATACAAATGTTTAAGAGCCACATTAAAAAAAAAAAGTGTATTATTTTGAGGAAACCAGGCACAATTTTATGTAGATAAAATTATATAATTCCAAGAAAAAGTTGTAGGACATAATATCATGAGAATTAAAGGGATAGTTCACCCTAAAATGACTTTTTTCATCCAGCCCACTAAATTTAAGAGTGCAGATGTAACTCATGTCAGTACCGACGCTCTATATGATTTCATTGCTCTCCATCAGGTGGTGTATTCTGCTGGTTTTGCTTTAGGACCCTCTGGTTCCCTGTCGATACTACACTCGTACAGGGTCTGCTAAGACGCTATGGGAAAAAGCCTTTTTTTTCCTGAACTGAAGCCTTTTTTTCAATCACGCAGTGAAACTGCACCGCCATTGGTTCGTGCAGTGTATAAAAAACGAACCAATGGCTCTGCAGCGGAGCTGCACGAGCCTATGGCGACAAAGCCCGCCAGAATGGGCAGAGCCATCTGGCTATATAAGCGGGCGTTCGCCACAGGATTCTCAGATTTCTTCTCCTTCAGCGACGACTACGCTCTACGCTGAGCTGAAGACTGAAGCCTCACTGCGAGAACTTCAGTCTCGCCTCTCTTCGCTTGCTAATCCGAAGCCTGCTCGCCATTGACACACCTTCGCAGCTGGAACTTGGACCTCTCAGCTCGGCTGAACTGCTTCTCCGCTAATGGCTCTGCAGCGGAGCTGCACGAGCCTATGGCGACAAAGCCCGCCAGAATGGGCAGAGCCATCTGGCTATATAAGCGGGCGTTCGCCACAGGATTCTCAGATTTCTTCTCCTTCAGCGACGACTACGCTCTACGCTGATCTGAAGACTGAAGCCTCACTGCGAGAACTTCAGTCTCGCCTCTCTTCGCTTGCTAATCCGAAGCCTGCTCGCCATTGACACACCTTCGCAGCTGGAACTTGGACCTCTCAGCTCGGCTGAACTGCTTCTCCGCTGCCTCAGCGACGCAGCAGTTCCGGTCCATTTCCCCTGCCGCCATCCTGCGATTCTAAAAGAGCTTACTAAAAGAGCTTGGCGTTGTTGCAAATGCCGCGCCGTTACTGCAATTCGTGCGCGTCTCCCCTGCACGGCGATGACGGCCACACGGAGTGCGTTTCCTGCTTTGGGAAATCCCACGTGGAAGCTGCGCTCACGGGAACTGATTGTTCTCACTGCGAGAACTTCAGTCTCGCCTCACTCGCTCATGGATCGCTTTCTTTTCAGAGAGCGACTCCGCCCCTCACGCCCTCCCGTTTTTTTCCTCACAGGTGCCTCACCCTCGCCCCAGAGAAAGAGTTCTCCCGTCCTCTTCTCCCAGTCTGACCAGCGTCCCTCTGCCGGCGAGAGTGATCTGGTCTCATTTGGGGGAAGTGAGGACGAGCTGCCTGAAGACAGCATGTCATTGACAGCCTCGGACGTAAAGCGCCCAGCGCCGCCAAAAGACGGGATGGACGCCGAGCTTCTCTGTATTCTCTTGAAAGCGGTCAAAGAGCTGGGTTTAGAGGGGTCTCCACCAGAGGAGCCTTCTCGCAGCCGTCTGGATGAATGGTTCCTGCCGGGGCGCCGTCAGGCTCCTCGTCAGCGTTCCTCTCCATTCTTCCCGGAGGTCCACGACGAGCTCACCAGATCATGGCGTGCTCCCTACTCCGCCCGCCTCCATACTTCTGCTTCATCCGCCCTCAATTCTATCGATGGCGCTGAAGAGAATGGGTACGACAAGCTGCCTCCCCTGGACGAGTCATTTGCCGCACACCTCTGCCCGCCCACGGCCATCAGCTGGAGAGCAAAGGCCGCTCATCCGTCCAAGCCTTGTAGGACCCCTTCAGCTCTCGCTGGACGTGCCTACACTTCAGCTAGACAGGCGGCTTCGGCGCTTCATTCAATGGCGGTCCTCCAAGTCTTTCAGGCCAAGATCCTTGCATTCTCAGATGAGTCTGGCCTGGACCCCGCGACCCTCAGGGAGCTGAGGAGTGCAACCGATCTGGCTCTGCGCGCCACCAAGACCACCGCTCAGGTGATCAGGAGGTCGATGGCCAGCCTTGTGGTGCTCGAGCGCCATTTATGGCTGACACTAACGGAAATCAAGGACGCGGATAGGGTCCCCTTCCTTGACGCTCCGGTCTCTCCCAAGGGTCTCTTCGGACCGGCGGTCAAAGGATTCACAGAGCGGAGGCACAGAAATCATCCCAAGCTATGCAACATTTCCTGCCAAAGCGCTCCAGCTCCGCTGCTACCTCTAGTTGCCCTAAGTCTATGCTGACTCAGCAGCCCGCAAAGCCAGTACCTGCCGCCCCCGCCATTCAGCCCGCAAAGACTCAGCAGACGCAAGGACGCTCCCACTCGGCCAGACGCTACCCCCTTCCTAAGTGCCAGGGACCCCAACCCAAGATTGCATTGGACCCGGCACCTCAGGCGTCTTCGTGATCTGGGGGCCAGGTCTCGCTACGGCCAGACCGCCTCCCAAGCAGCCTCTCTACAACCTCCTGACACCCCGTTCAACTCTGGGTACAGAGGAAAATGTGTTTGTTGCAAACAATAGGCCCCTTCAAGCGCCCAAGCAATCAGCCGCTGTTAGCGGGAAAAATAAAACACAAACATTTTCAAAAAGAGAGCAAATTTCCTCTTCCATTTCTCACGAATATTCAGCTCCCGTGCGGCCAGTCCCTCAAGTTAATCCAACCCCTCGCCACGCGGGCCGAGGCCTGGCAGGCCATCCCCGGAGTGTCGAGATGGGTCATGGGGATAATAAAACGAGGATATTCACTCCAATTCACTCGGAGACCCCTGCGCTTCAGCAACGTGGTCCCCACCTTACATATGTGTCCCCACCTAGTGCAAATCCCTAATGGTGCTTGCGCTCAGAGGTGATGAATCTGCTGGCAAAAGGAGCTGTAGAAACGGTTCCTCCAGCTCAGAGCGAGTCGGGCTTCTACAGTCATTACTTGCTCGTCCCCAAAAAGGATGGTGGCCTCCGGCCCATCCTCGATCTCAGAAGCCTGAATCATGCCCTCATGAAAAGGTTGTTCAAGATGACTACGCTGAACTAGATCCTTGCGCAAATTCTCTCAGGGGACTGGTTCTTTTCTCTGGACCTGAAGGATGCATACTTTCACAACCAGATAGCCCCCCATCACAGGCGATTCTTGAGATTTGCTTTCGAGGGAGTGGCTTATCAATACACGGTCCTTCCCTTCGGGCTGTCCCTGGTCCCCTGCACTTTTACGAAGTGCATGGACGCGGCTCTCTCCCCTCTGAGACAGATGGGTAAAATTAGTATCACACAGGACCCTCCTCCTCAGCCACCTAGAGCGCCTGGGACTCAGGGTCAATTTTGCCAAGAGCACGTTGTTCCCCAGCCAGCGAATATCGTTCCTGGGAACAATTTTCGACTCAGCTCAAATGAGAGCTGTAGTCGCGCCGGAATTGGCTCTGGCCATACGGAGACTGGCGGCCTCCTACGAGATTGGTACCACTCGGCCTCTCAAAACATTTCAGAGGATGCTGGGCCTCATGGCTGCAGCATCGCCAGCACTACAGCTGGGTCTGCTTCGTAAGTGTCCCCTTCAGCGCTGGCTGAAACCGCGGGTTCCATCCCATGCGTGGCATCACAGACGCCCGCAGGTCAGGGTGAATCAAGCCTGTATAACAGCCCTGGCCCCCTGGAAGAGCTCTCGCTGGATGGAACAGGGCGTGACCATGGGAATGGTTTGCAGAAGGACAGTTGTCATGACAGATGCTTCCAACGCAGGTTGGGGGGCGCTGTGCGAGGGCATCTCAGAGGAGTGGACACTCCATCCGCAGATGGTTCAGAGAATCTGGGAGATCTTCGGCAATGCCGAACTCTCACTGCCCAATTTATTATTCAAAGACCAGGGACGCGTTGGCCCATGATTGGCCCAACCTCCTTCTTTATGCATTTCCCCCAATCGCCCTGATCCTACAGGTAATCAGGCGAATCAGGGAACAAAAACACAAGGTTCTCCTGGTGTCCCCTCTCTGGAAGAACCAGTTGTGGCTATCAGAGCTGACTCAGCTGTTGGTAGCGGCCCCTTGGCCCATTCCGTTGAGACGAGATCTCCTCTCTCAAGCGAACGGAACAATATGGCACCCTCTGCCCGATCTGTGGGCCCTATTCCTCTGGCCGCTCGATGGGAGCCTTCAAGCCTCCCAGAGCTAGTCTTAAACACA